ATTCGTCCAGTGGTTTTTGAGTTATGTTAATCCCACAAACAAACATTACATTTTTATTTATATAGATGAATGTAGAGTTGCCAGACTTCCCTAAACTGCACATCCAAGGACTTCTAAGTATGTTGCCATAACAGTTAAAGTGGGATATAATGCTAAAGTTCTGTTGTTCAAATATACTTCTGATGTACAAGAATGTATTGCAAAAGGATAGCATAACAGTACATGGGAAGCCTGTATCCAGAGGCATTTCCATGGAATGAAAGACAATTTTCATTGCCTCCAAAAAAGAAAACACTTGCATCTTAAACAGGGTGCTTTCTTTTTTCTGGGATTACCTCTTGCGAGACACAATACCAAAAGGGCAAGAGAATTTTGGGCAGACAAGTAAAGCAATGTCTATACTAACACCAAACATGCCCTGTATTGACTTTATATTTAGGACTCAAGAAGATTTATTGTCCTTTGGGGGTAAATATTTATCTGTCAGATCAATAAGTCTTGATTTGTGCTGAGCTGAAAATCAATATTTGCTTATTATACCAATCTAATCTGAAGGTCCCAGCCGAGATTCTGGAAGTGCGACATTTCTGATGTTTTCTTATACCCACTGTGCTGAATGAATGAACAAAGGGATTGTTAAATATTTGTGCTTGTTGTGTTTCTATATGAGGATTTCAAGAGTATATTTAATCCGTTTGGTAATTTAAAATGTGTATGTTATATTAAGACTGGCCTGCAGAACCTGTGGCCCTCTAAGTATTTTGGATTTCAGCTCCCAGAATTCCTGGTCATTGGACAAACTGGCTAGAGTTTCTGGGAGTTAAAGAGTTCTCAACACCTGGAGGGTTTGAATTAAGGTGAGGACAGCATGCTTATGAGGAGACCTTGCTTTATATTTTCTTCACAAACAAAGAAGCCGAATAGTATTAGTGCAAAATAGGGCCTTCCTGATGACCAAGAGAAGTTTAGCCATAACAAGTCCTTATTAAAAAGGGATGGATTCCATTTATAATTTTAGGTCCCCACCCTCAGCAGTTTACTATACTTACAACTTCTTTCCTTTTCACAAAAGCAACTAAAATAATTACTTTTAGTTATCTAAATATATGTGTAAAGGGGACATTCTACCGGCTTGCACTACAAACCATATCTTGTGGTGGTAAAAGGAAGGACATCTAAGAGATTGTTGTATTGTTTTGGTTGTAATGTTTTGTTTGCTATTGTTTTTAACTTATTGCTACATCCATTCAGTTAACAAACTTTTGCCACACAAGTCTTATCTCGACATACATTATTCCAAGTGTCACTTCCTTATATGACACTTTATACATTTCTTAGATGTGTATCTCCCATTACCCATACCCTCCCCCCCATTTGCCCCCTCCCTCCTGGAACAGCAATTCCAAATGATGTCATTGCATCACTGTAACTGTGTGGAAAGCGTGACTCAAGGTGCTATATTTTTCAACTCTATTTTATTATTTAATCTATTTTATAATAGACCATTTCCTGTACCAGTCTTGTTTTGTATGTCTATACAGATACTTGTTTTTCCTTTGATTAATGAAATCATTGATTATATATTCCAAGATATAAGACCACCAAGTTGTATTGTCTCTCCATCCTTGGGCTATCGTAGCCTGTATTGCGACTATCATATATTTTAGGATTTCTGTCCAATTATTGTTATCTTCCTTTGCCTCTAAAGTGAGATACATGAATCTGGCTTTATCCCACTTGAATTTCCCCCCTATTATTTCTTCTATTACACTTCTTATTTTACTGTAATAGTTCTGAATTATTCTACCACATGTGGGAGAATGAACCTATTCCCCCACAATTATGCCAACATTTGTTGGAAATATTTCCCATTATATGAGCTAATTGAAAGGGGGTTCTATAACATTTAGAGATCATATTCCTTTGGGTTTCTTTGATCCTCATATGTTTAATTTTCTGAATGTTGTCAATCCAAGACCTGATAAATTTCTCACTAACGTTTTTTTTTCTTGTTTCCAATTCTCTATAAGGATGGTTTTTGTAAGATAAGGTGATTAATTCCTTGTACATTAACTCGATAATTCCTTTGTCTTTTTCTACTTTCTTTTTAATTATTCTGTCTAGTGGGGTTTCTGCTACCTTTCTCCTTTTCAATTACATATTTTAAATTGTTCTAAGATTGCGAGTACACTTGGATAAGGGGCTGGGCTTTACTACAGCTGTTAAATCATTAGCAATGATAAGATCTACTAACCAAAAGGTTGCCAGTTCGAAGCCCCCGGTTGGCGTGAGCTGCCGACTGTCAGCCCAGCTTACTGTGGACCTAAGCAGTTAGAAAACAGCTTGAACTGTAATTAGAGAAATTAGGTACCGCTAAAACAAGCAAAGGGGGTATTTTAAGAAAAAAGATCAGAAAATGCCAAAAGGAAGGAGGAAGTCTTGATGGCTCTTCGCCATAGAGGTTGGAGCGACAGCCCCCCCCCCCCCCGACTGGATTCGAGCACAACCTTCCAAAGCTCGAAAAACCTGAATGTCAACACAACATACCTCCTTTCTTTTCTGTCTGTCTCTGTATTGTCGATCCAAAATGGCAATGAACATTTGCCGTATATGTGTACCGTGATCCGCCCTGAGTCACCTTGAAGAGATAGGGCGGAATATAAATAGAGTGTTATGATTATTCACTGGATTTAAGGGCACATGACCCCAGTAAAAGAGGAAAAACCACACACACAAAAACCCGTATCCCCCTCCCCCCAAAATAACATCTCTCTGGGAAACTTTATGTCCTTTAGTGAAACTCTGTAGTCATCTTCTGCTGGCAGCTGACCATAGAATCACATTGCAGAACCTAGAGATTCCTAGATAGAAAATACTATTCAAAATATTATTATTCAAATTCGCAAACAAAACCACAAAGAAAAACCCATAAATGTAGAGGGCTCATTGTAGTTTGTTTCTATTTTAATGTTTATTGTATTTTTGTGATCTAGAAGATGACTTTGATCCCAGTTTTGTGAGAAGGGCAGGGTATAAATGAAGAGAAGGATAGTGCTGTTATTTGGGAGAAACACAAATATTAAAACATATATTGCAATAAATTTTTCCATCTTCTGTTATTTTCCAGGTGGCCTTGCCTTGGCACAAGTCCTGTTTTTTTACGTGAAGTATCTTGTTCTTTTTGGTGTCCCTGCACTTATCATTCAAATGGATGGACTCACGCCTCCTGCTTTACCTCGCTGTGTGAGCACCATGTACAGTTTTTGTGGGATGTGGAGGTGAGCTTAATTTCTATTGCTGATATTGACCACGCATTTCTTTTTTAATCTTCTAATAGTAGACTTTGTGTTGCATTCAGCTTGGGTGTTTCGCGTCACCTTGCCACCTAGAAAAACATTTGCAAATTGATAAAAGGTTATATGGAGTTATCATTTCTCACTGCTGCTCTTTGTAGTTTTTTTTTAAAAAAACACCCTTCCATTTGATAATTACTTTCTCCTGTCACAGAGGTGAAGAGATGTCTGCCTTGGGGATGTTCATCATCTTAATGATCAGAATGGGATCCAAACCGTTTAGCTCCACTGATCTGATAATTATTTTCTCTCCATAACTTTATGAAATATGAGTCTTTTCTTATTATTGTCTCCTTGAGAAAGACACTTTTGTGTGGAAAGTAATATTTGATTTGGTAACCTTACAGGGAAGGTACTGAGAAATGATCATCACAGTGCCAAAGAGATGGTAAGGGGGCTCCATTCAGGAAAAAAGTAGCTTCAGAGCCCTCTCAAATGTCTATTAATTTTACTGAATCTTTGTCTGGATTTGTACTTTTCCGTCGTTGTGTACAGGACATAATGATGGTTGGCAGATTTTGCTGTCAAGGGAAAGTTGGTTTACCTTTGTGTAGAAAGATAATGGTCTTCTAAGATTATTATTATTATTATTATTATTATTATTATTATTGATTATTATAGATTATTGCATGAGCCAACAATGTGATGTGGCGGCAAAAAAAAGCCAATGGGATCTTGGCCTGCATCAATAGGAGTATAGTGTCTAGATCTAGGGAAATCATGCTACCCCTCTATTTTGCCTTGGTCAGACCACACCTGGAATATTGTGTCCAATTCTGGGCACCACAATTGAAGAGAGATATTGACAAGCTGGAATGTGTCCAGAGGAGGGCGACTAAAATAATCAAGGGTCTGGAGAACAAGCCCTATGAGGAGCAGCTTAAAGAGCTGGGCATGTTTAGCCTGAAGAAGAGAAGGCTGAGAGGAGACATGGTAGCCATGTATAAATATGTGAAAGGAAGTCATAAATAAATATTTATCTAATATATGATATGCAAACCCTTATAATATGATTTACATGAGATTGGTGTGAAATTATTCCTTAATGGCAGCACAAAATGCTCTTTTCACAGTGTTTGTAAGGTAACTTATAATACCCAGATCTTGGGGAGTTACTTTTAAGTTACAGAATTCCTCAGCTGCCACGAGGTTTTAGTCCAAAAGTAAGTTTTCTAAGTTACAATATGCCATGAGCCTTACCCTTGAAACACTGACAAGGACGAAACAACAATCCAAGGCCAAGTCAATTAATTGAAGGTAGAAACAAAACCCAAGGAGACAATGGAAGGGAAAACCAAACACTAGAGTTCCAAGCAATTAAGTTGTGTCTACAAGTGAAGAGCCAAACTCCAGGGGCAGTCCAAATTCCATAACGTGCATGAGAGACAAGGTTGCAAGATGCAGAGGTTACAATCAAGTAACATGCTGCAAACCCATAAATGCTGCTTTCATAGCTGATCCCAATTGCTGACCTTCTCAGCAAGCCTTGTTGATCTTCCCAGCGAACCCTTTCTTTCCACAAAGGAAGGCATAGTTAACTCTTCCTCGGCCTGCTCAACAGAAGCCTCATGTATTTGACCAGCAGGCTGAGCAGTTGTTACTTCTGGCTGTGGTTGAAGGAGTTGCTCTAGTTCAGTGGTTCTCAACCTGTGGGTCCCCAGACGTTTTGGCCTTCAACTCCCAGAAATCCTAACAGCTGGTAAACTGGCTGGGATTTCTTGAAATTGCAAGCCAAAACACCTGGGGACCCACAGGTTGAGAATCACTGCTCTGGTTCAACAGCAAAGTCCTCACTCAGCAAACCTCATCCATGGTATCCATGACATGATAAATCTTTCCATGAACATAAGAAACAAAGGCACTTGAGTGCTTTAGATCTTAGCCTGGAAAATGAAGAATTGGCAATGTTCTGGAGTGTATTTGTACAGTAAAAGACCAGCTATATTTTTTTTTGCAAAGTCAGATCTGGCCACATTTCCACATCTCGTTCGGATGACAATAATACATGCAATATGGGACTACTCTTAGAAACTGTTCAAAAACTACTGTTGGCCCACAATATTGTGACCAGATTGCTAACTTCTGGCATATAACTCCCCTGTTGAGACAGCTTTACTGGCTATTGTTTATTTCTGGGCACAATATGACACAGAAAGCCCTATATGCCTTGGGTCCCTACTGTCTGAAAGTCCTTATGTCGCACTGGGTATGAGTTTTAGCACTACCAGGGGAGTTCTTTTTTTTCCCGTACCAAATTTTTGGTGTTTCAGATCTGTGGGGATCTTTTTATCCAGTATTAAACCTGGAGCTTTTTGTTGCCTATGAGGATTTCTGGACCACAGCCACAATTGAGAACATCAGTTATTCTGTTTGATGAACTAGTCATTAAAAAGTACCGCCAGAGACTTGCAGTTCTTTCAGGACTTGCAAATGAAGCATTTTAAAATGACATAAATCTAGAAGCTAATGGACACATATGTGAAGGAACTGGCTTGAAAAAATATTACAGACTTGAAAAGGGTCTTTTCTCAAAGTACATTTTCAAGATAAATGGTAATGAAGATCTGTTTAAGAAAAAAGCCTTTTCAAAGTGACCGAGAATATCTGGCATAGGGCTTTCTCCTCCTTTGCCTCCTTGAATAGCAGCATGGGCCAGCATGCTTGAGAGTAATGTGTCAGTTGACCCTCGGACAAGACAGCCCAACTTGGGTTACTCTTATGGGTGAAGGTGAAAAGTCACAGTTTTATTTAATAGATATCTAACCTTCTTTCCAAGATACTAACTCCACAAAGCATATTATTAAAATACATCAAAATACAAAATAAGTCATGTGGCCAGCATGACTGCATGGAATGCTGTTACCGCTGGAGTGGTACCTATTGATCTACTCACATTTGCATGTTTTCGAACTGCTAGGTTGGCAGAAGCTGAGGCTGACAGCGGAAGCTCACACAGCTCCCCAGATTTAAATCTGTGACCTTTCAGTCAACAAGTTTAGCAACTCAGCGGTTTCACCCAGTGTGTCACCGGGGACTCCATGACACTGCTATATTTCATCAAATCTAAATTGCACTCTCTCCCATTTAAGTGGCTTCAAAAACGGTGTGCCTTAGGTATGATGGCACTTGGATTTGCCAGTTTTTGTTTTTGAAAGAGATGAAGAGGATTTATTTACCTGCAATATAAAACAAAAAAAATTAGATGGAGGGAAAAATTAGGGAATAGGATAGTCCATTTGAAAAGGTGATTAGGAAATGTTTGAGATAAGAAAAGAAGGTGGCAGGAGATCTGTATGATCAAATTTTATGTATTTATTTATTTATTTGACATATTTATATTCTGCCTTTCTCTACCCCAGCAGGGGGACTTAAGGTGGCTTACAATGGCACATACACAGTGATTAAAATACATTCAAAGTTAAAAACACGCCATTCAGAGTTCAAATCATAACTGTAAAAGAAGAAATAATAGATGAAATTTTCCAAACATGGAGAATGAACATGGACATTGAGAGAGAAGACATCCAAAGGGAAATAAGTGATATAGCAAAAGAAAAGTACAATGTATTAAGGGAAGCAAGAAGGAAAATGTTACAAAAATGGTATGAAACTCCTGCACCACTTTCACATTTTTTTTTATGAGGGATAAAGGACAGGTGTTGCCATGGTTGTGAAGATGGGTGTTTAATGACATGATATGGGAATGGAGTGCAAGAATACTGGAGAATGATTGAAGGAGAAATCAATAGAATGCCAAATTTAGAAATAGTAATAGTTAATAGAAATGGACTACATGCAAGGATAACAGGAGTGAAGAATACACAAAAAGAAAAAATGGTTGACAAATTAATAGCGTGTGCATAAATTGTTTTAATGAGAATTGGAAAGATAAAACAAAATGGACTCTGACAAATTGGTATACAGTAAGTATCCAGTTAATATGTTAAATGTGGAAATCACAAATTATAAATTGAACAGTATAGATAAGGTAACAATAATTAAGTGGATGTGGGAACTAGTTAGAAATTACTTAGAGACTGTGCTAAGATGAGGAGTGGAAAAACTAAGATTGAGATTGAGATTTCAAATGTAACTTCTGTAGTCTGCTGTATAAATTGCATGTACAAGGAGGAGAGGGTGGGAGTGGGATAAAACAATAAAACAACAATTAAAAACATTTACCTGGAATATGTAGAGAAGTACATTTTGGAGACCACAGCTACCTAGATAAAATGCGTATAGATAAAATTATAGCTACAGGGTCTGGGATTGGATTTTCTGCAATAGCCTATAGTGAGACTTGGAGTAATCTTATGTTCTTATAAGAAAGGAACACATTCCACTGTGATATGATTCATACCATTAAGTAGTAACAGGTCTACACAGCGTGTTTTTGCCTCCTTTGTTTTTTATGCGACATTTCAGGAAAGAGTCATAAAAGACAAAAATGTTTACCAAAATGCCTTTATTTTTGCTATCTGTGGTTTCAAAGAAAGAAAGAAGCTATGAATTATAGAAGAGATGGAATATCTGGGTTGCTGTGCCAAGAGGAGAGGCTGCACACCTTCCTCTCCTCCTCTCTTGTCAAAGTGATCCACCTGGGTTGCTGTGCCGAAAGGGGAGGAGGCACGCAGCTGGTAGAAGCCCTATGCCTTCCTGCCAGGAACCTTACTCGTGTATAAGCTGAGGGAGCCTTTTTCAGCATAAAAAATGTGCTGAAAAACTAGGCTTATACTCGAGTATATATAAGTATATATTCTTCTTCTTCTTCTTCCTGCTCCTCCTCCTCCTCTTCTTCCTCCTCCTCCTCCTCTTCTTCTTCTTCTTCTTCTTCTTCTTCTTCTTCTTCTTCTTCTTCCCTGAAGGAGACTAAAAGCACCAGCTGATGTGTATAAAGAGAAATCCAACATTTTTGGGGAGTATTA